TCTTTACATTCATGCTCAGGATTGATAACTAGAATGTCTAGATTAGTAGATCAGGAGTCTTATAAAAGCTATGTGAATTTCCTGATGCACTTACTCTCCTATGATATTTGGGGGCTCCAGGTGGAGAAAGTGTACGGGATGAGAGTAAAACAGCATAGATTAACAACTGTTTCAAAACGTGTGCCTTCCAATGTTGATTATCAGTTAGATCACTATAGGAAGCAGGACCCTAAGGAATTCCACATGGGCTTTGCTTGGGTTAATATTATCATTCATATGTTCTAAATTTAGGAAACAGAATTATTAAATTCTCATGTGGCTAAAACTTGGAAAAGACTGTTAACAAGGTTAATGAAGGAATCAAATTTCACATTGATTGCTACACACTGGATAGACTGGACAGAATGCTACAAAATAAAATGTGCTCAGCATCCTGACCGTGGACTCAGATCATTGCCTTGGGGCAGGATCGGCTTCCTGACCTGGTGACAGCTCATGTGAAAAGACTTGGGGCCAACAGTGAGGCGAGCACGTCAGGGAAAAGCACAAATATTAGAAGTCACTCAGCTTTGGTGACTCATTGCGTGATCTTGGGTAAGTTGCTTAACCATATTGAACTTCCATTTTCTATCTTTAAGTGGGAATAATCATTTGGAAAAAAAGTTGAATTTGTGGAGGCATGATATTTTTTGAGTGAATTAATTTTGTTTGTTTTCTTATCCTTCCTCTATCTATGTCGCCCTTTTCCTTTTCCTAGTCAAACTTCTAGCTAGTGTATGCTCATAGCTTCTGAAAATGATGGGGCTCAGGAAAAAAAACAAAAGAAGCGTTCAGGGTGTCTTGATTTGTTTTTCATAACCTTAGTACCAAAGGAACTGAGGATAGTTGGGGTACAGATAAAATATTGAGACACAGCAGAGAAAAAGAAGCTATATTCCCTCTATCAACATAGAAGGGAAGGAAAATAGATTGGTGGGGGGCTTATTGAGATCAGGGAGCTGAGTGGTTTCCTGCCTCTCAGATAGAGTCCCAGAGAGGAGTCTAGGTCCCAGAGAGAGAAGGGCTTCTTGGAGGGACTAGGCTGATGGACAGTGATGGCCCATCTAGGAGTCAAGAGAAAGCCATGAACCTGGAGGAGCCTCACTGACAAGACTGACAACGCCTGTGAACCGATGACCAGAGACCAGAAGACAGCTTGATAGCTGCTGACACAGAGAAGTCAAGGACAACATTTCTTCCACCCTCCTGCTGAAGAAAGCAGCAAGCCTTGTGAGAGGCGAGGCATTGAATTGATTAAGGCAGAATGAGAAGTTAAAACAGAAATTGCGTTGAATTATTTATAAATGAAGATATATATCTTGAACAACTTGATTTGTAGAATAAAATTTATACACTCCTTGGCACACAGTATTATGGAAGATCAATATAATAAAAGCTACTTCTATTCCTACTATAAATATTTTATGTGGCTATTCAAAACGTCAATATTAACTTTTATTTATACAAGAGTAATGCCCAGATCAGGAAAGGGAAGTATCCCACTGCTATCAGGGGGAGAGATGGGGCAATCCACTTTGAGTATATATTGTCAAGAGGGCTGATAATGACATATGCCGATAGGGACGGTGTATCACTTGTGTAGTGAGGAGCCAGGCACTGAACAGTTAAAATAACTCGGGCTGTGAACACTGAATAAGGAAAGGCTGAGAAGAGAGATGAGAGCTGTCTTCAGATATTTGAAAGGCTTTTTGTGGAAGATAGAATGTCCTTGTTCTGAATGGTAGTTGATGGCATGAATGTCTGATTCAATCAACAGAAAGAGGAAGTTTCTCATAGTTGTGTTCATCAATGCTAAGGATTCAAACAGATGTTCACTATTCGTTGTGTCTGGAATGTTGTTAGAGGATTCCTGTACGCAGAGGAATGTGGCCCTGGCACTTTCAGTTTGAGGATGACACATGGGGCAGGCGCAGGCAACTGATATTATAAAATTCCAGGAAATATGCTGTGTGTTCTGTATCATTAGCTCACTGAATCTTCCTGGTGGCCCTATGAGCTAAACATTATGTGTTATTACAAATCAGACTTACGTAGTAAACCGCCAGAGTTCATGACACTGGTTAAGTACAGGAACAAGGTTTGAACCCATGTTATTGCATTAAAAGATCGTGTACTTTTCTCTACACACTCCATAGAACCTACACTAATGGGCTCTTTCAAAGAAAGAAGAATAAATCCTTAGCTTGATGACAGAAGTATCAAAACACAAAGATTTTGTGAATGTACCGACCAATGACAGGTGCTGGTCCCCTGACATATATTAGCTATGATTCATGTAATTGTATAGAAATATAGGTACATGAGTTTATGAACATTGAACATATACTAACAAAGGTAAATAGGCTACTCTTATCTTCTAGATATAGAAACATTTATTTCGATTACTGTGATGGCTAATTTTATGTGTCTACTTGGCTGGGCCACGGTGTCCAGATATTTGGTCAAACATTATAGTGGATGTCTCCATGAAAGCGTTTCTGAATGAGAGTAACATTTCCATTCGTGGACTTTGAATGAAGCAGATCACCCTCCCTCCTATGAGTGAGACTCTTCAATCAGTTAAAGGGCTTACTAGAATAAAGGCTGACCTCCTCTCAGCAAGAAGGAATTCTGCCAGCAGAACTGCCTTTGGACTTGGACTGCAGCTCTTCCCTGAGTCTCCAGCCGGCTGGCCTACCCTGCAGATTTTGGACTCGCACCTCCACAACCATGTGAGCCAGTTCCTTAAAGCTTTCTGTCTATGTACATATACACATTCTGTTTTTTTTGGAGAACCCTAATACAGTTATTTGCATTTCGTCACCTGCTCTTATGTGTCCTGTGTTCTTCTAACGTTAAAATCGTACGAGTGGAACAACTACATTTGGAAGCAGATCATTCCGCAGTCAAGCCTTCAGATGAGGCCACAGCACAGCCAACACCCTCACTGCAGTCTGGTAAGAGACGCTGCACTAAGCTGTGCCCGGATTCCTGAACCTGAGGACTGTGAAATAATTCATGTTATTGCTTTAAAAAAATTCTATGAGTGGAACTGAAATTTTCTCAAGACAGTCTGGTACAATAGAGACTGCTTTGAATTGCAAGACCTGGTGCCGAGCCCCTGGTCACCTCTAGTGAGTTGGTGCAGATCTCACATCTCTGCGTCTCACTCCTTCCCTGTCTGTAACAGGAGAGGGCTGAACAGAGGAACTTTAGTTTCCCGTTAAGTGCTGCAGTTCAATGTCTCTCTGTTAATCATACTGTTTATTCATCAAAATAAATACTGATAAAAGTCACAAGAAGAACACACCCTGGGTTTTCAGGCCTCTGGATGAGCTGGCAGTGTTCCAGCTTCCTTTCCACCCGTAGCTGTCTGTATTCACGTCCGGCTCTACCTCTTTCGTTCCACCCTAACAGTTCTCTATCACTAACCTATCAATGTTTTGTAATACTTTTGGCACTTCTGTGTGTGGCCTGTGCGTGTACGCGTGTGTGCGCTCACAATTCAAGCGGGGCCGCTGTGCCTCTGGGTATGTATACAGCTCCGGTGTTGGAAGTTTTCTCTCTACCATTTGTGGATTAGCTCTGGCAGTACACAAGGGGAATTTCTTTCCAAGTGTGAGTCCTTTTTCTTTCTTCTCACCCTAGGAGGTGTGTCCAGATCCCTTTGTTTGGCAGCCACTTCAGAAGAGCACTGGAGTCCAGGCAGAGGGCTTTCCCCAATGAATAACTGGATTTGTATTTGCAAATCAATCCTACTGGATAAAATGTTATGTGAACATCTTCCCAGCCCCTGTTAACACCCTTTCATATTTTTATGGTGCAGATTTTAAAAGAAAGTGTGACTTATCTAGTCCTATCCCTGAGTCCCAGAGAAGCAGCAGACTGAGTTCAGGCAGGAGGATGCCAGGCCAAACCGTGCAGCAGGCAGTTCGTCACTAGTCCTGCCAAGTGTTCCTTTCCCTGAATTGTTCTTCAACCACTCTCAGACCCCTGAGTCTGTTGCCCCACAACACCCCTAGCCCCAAATGCTTTTTTCCAGAAGGGGTTTGAACTACTCAAACCAAGGGTACTGGGAAAAGATTAAAGTGTTACCACTTCCTGGGGTATTTGGACGCATTTAAACAGAAGACACAATTGTAAGGCAAGAAGATGAAACACTATTTGTGAGACTATAGGTGCCAACAAATCAGTGAGAGGAGGTAGGTAGTGGGTGTATTTCTGTGGTAGGTGCCGTGCTGGGCATAGGGACACCGCAGCTGGCGCCTGCTCAGCCACCCCTTCCAGCTGGTCTTCACCTTGGTTGGAGAAGGGCCTGTTGGGGTATTCAACCCCTCTAAGTCCGCAGAGACCAAGAGATGTGGTGACAGTATGGGGTGGCTGAGTATGATCTGAGGACAGAAGGACTTTCCCTTCACTCTGATTATTAGAAAGAATGAGAGAGAGAGAGAGAGAGAGAGAGAGAGAGAGAGAGAGAGAGAGAGAGAGAATGCTATGAAAGGAAAGAAAAGAGAAGAAAAGAAACAGAAAAGAGAAGAAAGGAAAGGGACAGAAAAGTAAAAGAAAGGCAAGGCGTGGGCCTGGAGCTTGGCGGAGGGGTCCCGCGCGCGGACTCGGGCTGGCTGGGAGCGCGGAACCCAGCAGGCAGGGCGGAGATGCGCCCATCACCTCCTGCACTCCGAGCCTCTCATTTGAGCGGAGGGTCTCCTGGGTTCAGGGCTCACGGCTTTTGGGTGAACCCCGGGCCGGCCCCGACCCCTCCCGCGTCTGGGAGCTGGGCCTGGCCTGGAGCCAATCTCCCATCGCCACTCGGCCCCCGCATAGCTCTCCAGGCTGCCCGTCGGGGGGAGCGCCCCTGCTGCCCGGCAGCGAGACTTCGCCCTCTCTGGCGATTCTGGGTGGGGCGGCTGTGCCTGCCGGACGGCCCCCGCCGCCTCGCGCCAAGCCTGGGACCGCCCCAGGGCCTCCGGGGCCCGGCCAGACGCCGCGCGCGGCCGGGGCAGCCGCACCTGAGTCCGTAGCGCGGGCCAAGCCTCGGCGCCGGAAGCGCGGGTGGAGTGGCCCAGCCCCCGGAGCGGCCCGAGCCCGCGGGGAAGCGGTGGGGGCGCGAGACCCACACCGGGGGGACCACGTGCTGCCTGGCGCCGGCAGGGGCGAGGACCTGCCGAGTCGGACCCCTCCACCCGCTCGCCCACCCGCGCCCGGCCCCGGGCGCCTAGCATCAGCTGTCTCCACCGTCCCGACCTAACTTTCCTTCAACTCCGCAGCGAGGAACCTGCCGCCCAGCCCGCCCCCTGGCCCCGGGGAGCCGCGCTTGCACCCCCGCAGCGCCGTCCTTCCACCTTGCGCCGCCCCTAGCGCGGGCGAGGAGGGGTTGCGGGCGAGCCCCATGAACTCTCCAGAAAGAGCGTGAGTGAGGGTCCGGCAGCTGCGCTCAGTCCGGGCGCCCAGGGTCTTCTTTGGGGGAGCTCCGAGCAGCAGCGAGACCGCGGAGGATGACCGTGCGACCCCTGGGAACCTCAGCGCAGTAATGCCAACATGTAAGTCTCACCGTTCAGCTCAGAATTGCATCACACCTTTACCTGTATACCCCCTTCCCCCACCCCCTCCACTAAATGGTTTTGTAAGGACTTCGACTGTATTGACAAAATAAACCGGTTTGTCTTCAGTTTGCCAACCCCCACCCCCCCACACCCCCACCCCAACCCGCCCCAGGCACTGAGGAGTGAGCTGGTATTGCCAGACGGAGGTGTGACATGTGTGTGTGTGTGTGTGTGTGTGTGTGCGTGTGTGTGTGTGTGTGTGTGTGTGTGTTTGTGGCTTTTTTTCCAGGGAGAGGTAAGCCTCACATTTGGGCGGTGTAAAGCATAATAAAAAGGGCAGGGCTTCAAGAATGGGGAAAGCCTGTTTTCGATTCAAATTAAACAAGGAATAACAGGCAAGGTTCCTCCATCCAAAGGCCTTGTCCTGCCAAGAAAGCGCTCTCCTGGATCCGCACCTGGGGGCTTGGAAGGTACTGGTACGCTGAGAAAATGTTGACTTTACACATTGTCACCCTTGACTGTAGAAGTTATTCTTGGATCTTTGGGTTATTAGAATGGTTTTGAAAAAGCTTGCAGAAAAAGTTCTTGGTTGTACTTTGCAGATTAAAAAGCAATTAATGAATATGCCATTTATGCGATAGGATCTGCGAGGGAACTTGTGTAGAATTAGAAGTGGGAGGTATAGGGCAAAAAAAGGTTAAGGAAACCTAATATGTTTTGCTTGTACGGAATTGTCATCTAAGTGGTGAGGTGCCTCAACGACCCTGCGAAAGGGCCACTGGGCACCGCCTGGCCTCCCAGAATGGAAAAGAGGAAGATTGTTCTCAAAAGGGCCAAGCTTATTTTTGTGGCCAACTCAGAAGTTACTTTTTCTTGTAATATGTAATTTTACCTCTGGTGTTTTATTTACTCTTGGACAGACACCCTGATAGACATTTTACTCCTTTCCACTAATATACTAAAGTTTCTAGAAATTGATAGTCACCCTTCCTCCCCCAACTCTACTGGATCCTTATTTATTTTCACTTAAATTAACTCTTTTAGTTTAATACCTAGGAAAAGACTTACTCCTCAGGCCCTGTCTTTCCCTTTCTTTCACCTTCCCAGTCCCCCCAGTACACAATTTTAAAATAGGAAAAGAGTCATGCCCACAAGCCTAGCGCTCTGTAGCTGTGTCCTGGTACGGAGCAGTATTATTAGAAAGGAATCACTTATTTTTATTAAAACTGTATGTGAAGTAATTCCACATGTGTGAGTTTTACAGTTTCATTTCTGCCAGTGGATTCATCAAGGTATAGCCTGATATAATTTATTTTGGGATACAGCCAACAGTCTCATGTAGGAGTTGTTCTCATATAAAGACGGCACATTTTGAATGAATATGAGTTTATTTTAAACTTCAGTTTTTCCTGAAAAATATAGTAGGGTTTTTAACAGCATATGATTATCTAGCTTACTTTCAGCTTTCCTAGGTAATGTAGATCTTACAGGGGGAAAAGCACATTACACATAAAAACAAAGCATGAGTACCAATTTTTGAAATACAAGATGTGAAAATGACCAACAGGTAATGGAAAAATACCCTGATTGTGAAATTAAGTTACATAGTCCATTTGAATTTCTACATGATTAAAAAATCTTAGGTCATTATAGAGTGAAGGCATAAATATTTAATCACATATAGAGTTTAGTACTCTGATTTGAGTTTCTTTATTGAGCTATTTGACTGAAAGTTTTTCCATTTCTTGCCAGATTATAAGTTTTTTTCAGTTTTGCTGTTTATAATTCATATGGAATGGTTTGAGATGATCTGATTCTTTTGATATTAATATGTTAGAGTATATGGAAATAACACCAGCCTTTCCAAGGTAAATATTTCTACTGTCTTCTTAAAAAATGTTAAAATGAGGAACAACCTATATTATCTTTTACATTTTAATTTTAATAGCTTCAAGTGTATAAACTATTTAAGTGCATGTTCTGCTTACTCCTTGTGGAGAAAGAATGTTTATATACATAGTGACACCCAAGTTCTGAAATTACAGACTTTTATAAATATATTTTGGAGTTGTAGTGCTTGCATATTTTTCATACCCTAAGAAATTTTGTAGATTTAACAAGACTTGCATTAATTGGTCTCAAGTTGCATGAAGCTACTGTTCCATTTATGGCTTATATAAATTACATGACATTGTGCTTTTCCAATGTGAATGGTGAATGAAGCTATTGTCTCTTGGCTTATGGGAAATATTAGAAGCTTGTAGTTTTACTGCCTAGCTGGACACGTCACTCTGATTTCTGGAAATAATGATTTAAAAGAGAATCAGTTTATATATTAAAAATACACTGACAACTGCTTCCTTAAACCTGACCATTTTTCTAACTGCCCATATCTTCTATAGTTTATATTTCTGATGGGATAGTTAAAAGTTTCTAAAGACTATTTAGACTTTAGGCTAAATAGAAAAAGACTTTGTTCAATGTGTGTGGCATGCTTGAGCAAAAACGGTATCTTTTTCCATTTTCATTTCTATTTGGATGGCATTACATTATCTACATTGAATGCACACTGAGTGACGGAGTGGTAGCATTGAAAGGACATTTCAATTGTTACTGAAAATGTCGGTAAAACTTGAGTGTGGCTACCTGAGTATCATCTTACTTTCCCTCACAAGCATTACTCAGGGTGGAATTATTCAGGTTCCCTCAAGGAAATCAACAGTACTTTGAGATTACTGTACTTAAAACATTTATAGCAAATATGACAAAGGCTTAACATATTTAGTATAGAATTGGTAAAAAAAATTCACAAATCAGTAAAAAAAACAAACCATTTATATTGTAATAGAAAACTAAGCAAATAACTTGAACATGCCAATCCAAATAAAGGAAATCCAAGTGAGACTCTATTTCTTCTATCAAACTGGCAATGATTAAAGCAGCAATGCTCAGTGGTGATGAGAATCTCTTAAGATCAACATTGATACACTTCAGTGTAAATACGTATATGTGTATTTAACTTTGTTTAGAAATCATTTTAAACCTACAGAAAAGTTGCAAGAATAATATAGAGAACACTCTTATACAGAACCACTTATCGTAAATATTTCTGCTATTTATTTTATCATTTTCCTGCCTCTCTTTTTTCCTCCACCCACCACTCTCTGTGTACACACACACACACACACACACACACACACAATTTTTTTCTGAACCACTTGAGAGTACGTTACATATATCAGGGCTTTAGGGTTTACTTTTTTAATGGAAAATTTTATTGAGATATTTGTCGATTGACATGCAGTCGTGAGAAATAATACCGGGGGATCCTGATGTTCCCAGTTTCTCCCAGTGGTAACATTTTGCAGAACTGGAGCATAATATCATAACCAGAATATTGATACAATATTCGTCTCTTTTTCAAATTTCCTGAGTTTTACATGTCCCTCTGTGTGTGTGTGTGTGTGTGTGTGTGTGTGTGTGTGTGTGTGTGTGTGTGTAAAGGCAAACATCTCAAGTTTACCTTTTAAATCACCTACAGCACAAGCCAGTTATGCACGTTACAGTTCAAGTAAGGGTCAAGGTTTGTGCAGATTTGAAGAATAAACCTTTTTGAAGAAGGGGTGAACCCAACTTAACAGAACTCTAATAATAGAGTAGCATTTTCTCTTTCCATTCATTGCTTAGGCTCAAGAACATGATCTTTAACCAGAAGAAGAAATATAATTTTGAGCAAACTTGAATAAACAAATTACCATTGTTTTCATTCTGAAAGAATTAAGGTATTCTCTGCGCCACTGCTCACCCCCTTTTGTGAAAAGCTTTGCTGCAGAAATACAGTTGGGATATGGAGAATGAAGTTAATTCTAATTATTGATGGTATTAATAGAACTAGTACCATATCAATTTCTCCACTATATTCAACATTTCTTCATTAATTTATCTTTAAATGGTGACATTTAGGGGAGCCAATAGGAGCAAAGAGATGGAAAATGGTAGGTTTTTTAGATTATTCCAGTGATGCATTTGGGTTAAATCAAATCCACAAGGGGTTATACCCACATTGAAAACAATTCCTATAAAAGGGTTAAGTTCTCAAGTTTCCTGAATCAGGAATCAAGCACCTTGCATTTTGTAGTCTATACAGATTGAAAAGGAGAGCGAGTTTGCAGTCGAGGTAGGTTGGTTTCTCAAAAAGGGCTGTGAATTGGAAGCCAGATGACTGGGGGGAGTGTGTGTGGGGGGGTGTTTTGGCTCTGTCACCGCTGATTATGTGCTCTTGAGCAAGTGGTTTAATGTATAGTTCTTCCACCTGTGAGATGATAGGTTTTACTGTGTAATTTTTAGATTCTGTTCAGAAGATAAAGTCTGTGACTGTTTTACTTAAAAATATTCTTGTTCTCTTCAATAGAACTTTGAGGCCAAAACCCAAGCAACACAAGATTGGGCTATGTTTTTTTGTAGTTCTCATTAAGAACCCTAGTAACCCTGTTTTGGATTTTCCATTCTTATGAGAAAGTTGTTTAAATCTCAGGGATGTGTCTCTGCTAAGTGATCCCCTGAGAAGACACACAGTGCTTTCCTTCCTCTGTTCTATTCTTAATTTACTTGTTTCTGTTCTTTAGTAAACAGTAAAGTGGATGAAAGTTGGCGTGTCATATGGTTTATGTTTGGTTATAAGTGCTTGCCTAGTCCTGGGTTCCTTTTTTTTGGGCAAAATGATGGAGTATTGGGAACTGGAATGCATCAAGCCCTCCGTTGTCTGATAGGACTGCAGGCAGCTTTTGTAAAACAGCTTCAGGTTTGGGTATAGAATCCCTAAGGAAACTTTTATAGCAAAAGGAAATTGTGTGAGCACACGAAATAAACAGTATTGAGTGTTGCCAAGCTGATGAACTGAACTCCCTGGATAGTGTTTAGAGAGCATGTGAACTTAAGAGGGGGTCATTATTCACGTATTGATGAATGGAATGTCACATGCCACAAAGATTCAAAGGCTGGTTGTGCTCTTAGGCTGCTATTCCTGTTGGTTAATATCGGTAAGGCTGGCAGCCAGGATTGATTGACATGCCTCTATTTCTCTGGGCCTCAGTTTCCTCCTCTGAAACAAGGAGGCTAGATTTCATTTTTGGACCTCCCGGCACTAAACTTTTTTGAATATATAATTGCACTTTTGTCTTAGAGGCATATTCATTCATCTTCAGCATGAATGGGAAATGCCTCATTTATCCAGCATCCATGGAAAATGGGCCCATTCTTCCAAATGAGTGAAATGTCTGTGCGACAGAAGTTTATCGTTTACCCTTTTTGAAGCCCTTACTAAGTGCAGTGTTATATCTAGTCCTCTTTAGTGGATAATATCCTACTTACAGAAGAGGAAATAGGCTTAGAGTTTAAGTACTTGCCCCCACTCCCAACCCCCAAACCACACAGTAAACAGGGGCACCAGGATGTAACTCTATGCTATTCCATTATTATGGGGACTTACTATATCATATTGCTTCTCATAAGCAGTAACACTGCTTTTAATTGCAAATATTTGGGATGAGTGTATTTGACAATGTACCTTTTATTAAAAAAAAATACTCTTCAGACCTTAAGCTTTCCCTAGTTTAGAATTTCCATTAGGAACTATATGAAAATAGAACTTCTAGTTTGGTGAATATAAAATTGTGACCTGAATACCAGACACTACTTGAAATTTTGTATCCATGGCTGAATGAATAATCCATTTTATTTCTGTTCCCAGGTGATCCCAGAAGTGGCCACAAAGTCAGTGGACTGGTGTTGGCTCGTGGCATTAATCCTATTGTCCATTCTTGTTTAAATTTTTTCCTTTGATTTCACTGTTGATAGAATAACCACACTTAGAATGCCTGGGATGATGGTCATAATAATAGCTAATATTTATTGAGTGGTTACTGAGTGTCAGGCACTGATCTTAAAAACCATGGTCTGATTTAATCATCTGACAACTCTGTGGACTACATTCCACTGCTGTTCCTAACTCACAGGTGAGGAACAGGAGGCACAGGTTGTGGTCAAATTAATGTCCCAAGGGTGGCATAGTTTGTAAGTAGCAAACCCAGGTCTGTCTGACTTTAGAGCATGTCCTTTTTGCTGCTGAGATGATCTCTAACAGTAAAAGGCAAATTGAAAATGCGGGCTCGAGGCAAGTGCAGGAATTACTTCATGTCTGTGTTTGCTTGAGTATTTCTCTTCCCACTTTCCTGGTGTTCTGTTCAGTACAATATAGCTTACTCCAGATTAGCCATCTTCAGGTAAAGAAGGTTTTACAGTTGACCCTTGGATAACATGAGTTTGACTCTTGAGTCCACTTATAGGTGGATTTTTTTCTATAAACATACAGTTGGTCCTTCGTATCCCTGGGTTTCCCATCTGAGGATTCAACCAACTTCGGATGGAAAACAGTATGTTCAGTTTGCAGTTGGGAAGCCACAGATGCAGAGGGATGGCTGTACATGTTGTTCTGTACCCGTTTATAGAAGGGACTTGAGCACCTGTAGGTTTTGGTATCCGCGGGGGTGCTGGAACCAACCCCTGCGGACACTGAGGGAGGACTGAAGTTATGAGCCCTAAGTTATGCGCGGATTTTTGATTGCACAGGGATCAGCACCCCTAACCTCTGGGTTGTTCAAGGATCAACTGTACTCTGACTCTAAAGTATCTTATAATTAGTTGCCCCTCTTTTTAGAAATAAAATGACTCTCAGTTACCACTTGTCATCAAAGTGACAAACTCCCTTTGATCTGAGGACGTCTTACAGCTACTTATCTGTCTTCCTGCTTCATGACTCTCTTGCTCACCAGTCCTTTGAGGGTGACTTTTGGTGACTGACTTATATACTTGCTGCCTCTTTTGATGGCGCTGAGTCAGTGAAAAGTATCCAACCACTGTTTTGAGCCAAGATAACATGGCTGTTCCAGTCTAAATCATCAGTATGTATAATTTTGAGTTTAAAGACAAGACCATTGTACGGAGAATTATTTGAGAGTTTTCCAAGCACCACCCCTCTGTCTAATGTCATTTACTAGTTTCTGTACTTGGTGTTTATTAGCCATTTGAAAACATTGATAGCTAGATAAAGAAATTAATCTTATTTTCTATGTTAATGCTTCATTTTAGAGGAAAGAAGAGAGCTTAGGCAATTTAATTTTAATTATCTCCATTTCTGAAACAGCAGATATTATAAAATGAAAATATTCCCTTAAAGTCTGAATTTCTGGGAGATTATAGGGGATGTTAAGATTATCATCTTCTTGCTACCCAGGTGGACATGTGACTAGTGATGCTGAAGGCTGAAGCTGAAATTGCTTTATTTTAATTTAATTTAATTTTATTTTTTTGGCGGGGGGCGGGGAGGACAGTGTGTTTTTTCAGAACCCACCAGTTCCAAGTCAAGTAATTGTCTTCAGTCTAGTTGTGGAGGGCGCATCTTAGTGAGCCATGTAGGTATCGAACCGGCAACCTTGGTGTTATGAGCATTTGCGCTCTAACCACCTGAGCTAACTGGCCGCTCCTTTATTTTTTAATAAATGATTTCTTCTTTGAATGATCTGAATATTTTCCCATCTTTATTCAGAGATCACCTAGTATATATTCTCTAATATGGAAGGTGCCACCAGGTGGCAAGTAAAATAAATGCGAGTTTTTTCTTTTGCCTTATTAGCCTAAAGGAAGTGATTAGGTCATCATCTTTATTGGGAAACAAGATTGACAAAGGTTTCTGTTTTCTGGTTCCTGTTGGAAACATTTTACTGTCGTTGTCCTAATGCTTGACTGCCTTCTCAGAGGCCTGACCATTGCTTTCTTCCATTACAGGATGTTTCACTCAGGTCGAATGTGGAGCTGTCATTGGAAGTGGAAGCCAAGTTCTCTTTTGTTCTTATTTGCTTTATACATTGTCTGTGTTCCTCACTCAGGTAAGTAAGACTTTTTCAAACTCCTAATTTAATCATGATTACATTGCCTTCAGTGTCAGTGTGCTATTTGTTTAAGTAACCTTAACTTTATTGTCATTCTTTTCTGTTTCTGTCCCTAAAGCTGTTGCTGTCCATGGCCTCTCATGCCTCTCCGAATTCTGTGTGAATACTATTGCTTTGATCATTGTTTTAGTTTTTAATGAGTATAGTTCTTTAATCTTTGCTGCATTTCTTTTAGCTTTATTTATTTATATAGCCTGTGTTGAGTGACGAGACACTACATATCTGTCATTAAAAATGTACTAGCAGTTTTTTCTACTATTGAATAAATATCAGCATTTAATTTTCTCTCTTTTCAAGTTTTCATGTAGTTATTTATAGAATGTAAAGTATAGACTTTGCTGTTTTTATTTATCCTGATTTTACTGCCATGTATGAGACGGGAATTTGAAATTTAAGTTTTTAGGCTACGAAGTTTATTTAGTTGACTTAAAATGATATGAAAAGTCAATTTTAATTGCAGTAGTTTTGAAATTAAAATGTCTAGTTCTTGTAATTACCATTTTTTCTGAACTTTGAAACAAGATCCTTTTAGCTGCTGTTGAAAGCTAAATTTTCTATAAATAGCTAATTATATGAATAAGCCAATCAGAGCCTGAGGAATGCAAAGTAAATTGTTTGTTTATTTGCTTTTGTTGCTGATCAAACTGCCTTTCTCTTAAGTCACTTTATTTTACTCATTTTTTTACTGCTTTATATATTCAGTGTATTATATTTTCCTTTAGAATAAAATCATTACTCATGAAGTCTTATATATTTATTACTTGGGATTTTAACCAAGATGTTATACATTTCATATTTATAAAATATCTGTATGTTATAACTAATACACTTAATCATGGAAATAGATTATCTGCTAAAATTGCTTATGTATGGATCAAGAAGTTCAACTTGTATTTAACATATAAGTTCTTTTTTTACAAGCCCTCAAGTATTTTAAATGTTAAGCTGCTTTCTTGGAAATTCCCTGGCACTTGTTTAGTGGCTTCAAAACAAAACTGATCTTTGAGTGAATGTTTTTGTGTATGTGTTTCAATTATAAAGTCACTCTTTCTGTGACTTTCATTACTGGAAAGAGGGAACAAACTTGTAAGGGATCTGAAAATTACATAGATATTGGATTTTTACCATGTACAGTGTTGAACTACTTCTCAACTTTCAAAAGGGATCCTTCAAGAGCCAATTACATGATGTAAGATAAATTATGAGATTAACATTAGTTGAAGTCTGTTTATTTTCATTTTTTGTAGGTCATGGCATTTGTAAATTTTCAAGCCTTCTTCAGACCTTAAACTGGGACTTTTTATTTTAGGCGTCAACATTCTGATTGATATACGCACATTCATTATTTTAGTCGTTTGATTAAGTGAAGTGAAACACGTAGACTGATTCAAAGGTGTCATCTGTGCTGGGACTAGGGTGAGGCAACAGAAAGCACCAAATGTACAAAATTTTAGGAGGCACTCATTCTCAAGGTCATAGGAATCAAAGTACTTAAATTTGTTTTTAAGCTACTCTTTCACAGCAGAAACCTTTCTTTAAAATGTCTTGCATTACCCAACACTTGTGCATTGGGTAAGGTTTTGTGACAGATAGTTACATGTTTATTCATGAAGCCAGAATGTTTTGTATCTATATATCTGTGAACATGATTCACTTAAAATACCCCCACCTGATACATGAATATCTGAACTCACAAAAATACTTTAGGGAGCTATTATTATATATCTAATATTATTAAAGTACTGGGAAAAGGGCACATGTGAACACTGTTGGTTCTGTCTTTTGGGAAAGTGATTGGGAAACATCCTTTTAAAGGTAAGAATGTGTCTTCTCTTTGACATCACTCCCACATGTAGGCATCTATCCTATGAATAAACAATAAATATATAGAGAACTATGTACCAGTGTGTTAACTGCAGCATTGTAATAGCAAGCAATCGGGAAAGACTCTAATTGCTCATCAACAAGAGAATGGTTATAAAAATATTTTACATTAATAGCGTGACATACTGTGCAGCCATTCAAAACAATGTGGCCAAATTGTGTATATTGGCTTCAAAAGATGTTCATGATATTGTTAATTAAAAATCAAGTTGCAGAACAATATAAAATTATCCCAAATTTGCAATAGTTTGTATTACAAAGCTGGGATGTTTTACGTGTGTGTGTGTGTGTGTGTGTGTGTGTGTGTGTGTGTGTGT